CTTATTCCGGAACGATCAAAGGAATAGAATCGAATCAAAGCAAAGCTAAGGTGAGTGCATACTATATGTATAGTATAATGGAATAAGACTTGTGATAAGTCTAATCCCTATATTGATTTTCATAGTACAATAGTTGTGAACATACATACATGATAATTATTGTAATACATGCATAAGGCATATATATGTTCATGTGATTGGATAAATGATGTATATATATGAATAGATTCAAACACACATGTGATATGATATGTGATATGAGAACATGACATGAAGTAAGTGACATGAGCTACATGATCACAAGAGAAATGACATGAGTACATGAACATATGAAATATAAGAATAATGCCCATAGATACGATATGAGCTATAGGTGTAATTGGCATGCCAAGAGTCGAGGGTATAATAGTCCTTCGGGATGTAGTGGTCCTACGGGATATATATAACAATACTTCGGGACAAATACTGAACTAAGGTTCGGTGCCCCATGAGAGAATTGATACGAGTTGTGGTGACAGCATTAGTGCACAACCTCAATGTACTCACATACCTCTATTCTCAATAATATACATGGACAATTGAAATACAAAGTAAAGTGAAAGTGGTACAAGAAGGTAAGTTTCGTACATGCATGATATGATTATATATGTTATTGTGTAATAGATACATGTATATTGAAATGTCATGAAGGAAATGGTAAGAATACATATTCATGAAGATATTGTTGCATATTCATTTATTGCCTCACTAAGTCTATGGCTTAGCGTGTAAGTGATTAACACGTAGGTACCAAGAAATAAGAAGATTTAGAATAGAAGTGGCATGGACAACAACATTACTAAGAAATCAGATCAGAAATAATTGACAAAGTAGGTATTTTGTTCTGTATAGAGTGTTGGTATGTAATAAGTGGTTAATTACGAATGCTCTGATCGATTTTGTATTAAGTGGTATCTTTTATGTAAATTAAAGTATTTTGCTTTAATGAAAGTTTTAAATTGCTCTATTTATTCTTTAAGAATCAAAGTTTGAAAAGTCAATGTGACATCTCGGACTTGTATTCGGGTCGAATATGAGTTGGGGGTGTTACACTTAAGCACATTTCATTGAAGAGAAATGTGAAGTTTTCTGAGGTACAATTTGATTCTAAAATGCATTCTATGATAATCTCATATTGAATTCTTAAGCAAAGTCATAATGCAGTAATCCCTTGGTAGTTGGTTAAGAGTAGAAAGCATTTAACCCAAAATATTATATACAGAGTGAAAGGTTTAGTATGAAAAGAACTTACAATGACTTCGTCAAGCAATTCGTATACAAGAACAAAGTTTTTCCGCAGTGAATCTTCACTTAAAACCCCTAAATAATCTTTAATGACACGAGCAATTCTTTGCAGAAGTTCCAATACAAGAGATGGTGACACGTTAACTCTTGTGGTTGCAACAAACAACAACCCGACAACCTTCACATGGAAGTAGTTCACGCCATCCACATTCTATAGATGAAAAAAAAATTATACGGAAGTATTAGATCACTGCACCGGCTTGTATGCTATACAATCAAGTAAAATGTGCATTGGATTATACCAGTCATTGGTTAAAAAAAAAAATAGGAGGTGGTTAAATCTAAAAACTAAGCATATCAATTAACTGCATACAATTTGTTCAGCCGGCATACGGCCTGATATTACATTCTCTAGTAATATAATACCTACAAAGACAGGGGGTGCCTCCTCTTGTCCATCCTCTTTCCAGAACTTCACTTTCCGGAAGAAAATCTCTGCACTTCCTTTTGCTACTTCACTTCGATCTGCAGTAAAAATCATTCAATCAGTGTCATGTCTTGGGCTGTAAAGATCTTTGCATTCAATAGAACCGAACAAGTTTAAATTAAAATTATAATCAATAATTTTTTTTTTTTTTTTTGATAGAAGTTGGAGGTCTCATTAAAAACTCCCTTCGTATTCGTTCACATACTAAAAGTATGTTAACGAACATTGGAAGGAAGAAAAGAGTACCTCAAATTTTATTGATAATAATACCCGATACAAAAGACACCACGGAATATCCTCTCATGGTGATGTACACCATTACAACAAACACCTTAACCCTATATATCCTCATCCAAAGCCACAATCTAATCACCTTCTAATTACACCACTAGCAGTAGGATTAAAACAACGCAACAGAACATAATGCAAATTAAAAGCAACACCTACAACCATATAGATAAAAACAAAACCACAATTGAAGAGACAAGATCTAATGAGACTCGTCTTCTTCAGGAGCCCAAGAGTTTGGTTTGAATGAAGGCTCTATCTCATGCACCATGACCTTGAAGAAGTTGTCACCAACCTTCAATTCCACCATCGCATCAATTCTCGCATCAGCCTTTATGAGGACTTGAATTTTTGCCCGATCAAAAGATGATGGAGACTGACAACTTTCGTCGATAGCTAGTAATAAACCCCACTTATCAACAATGTTCTTGAAAGTATTCCAATTCCATGCGTGAAAAGGAACACCCTCGCAAACTAACCATACTCGACGACACTCCATTACCAAACTCTCTGACCAAGCTTCGACTATGGAGAACCACTCTGCGAGAATAATTGATTTATTGTTCTTCACACTTCTCAATGAAGCATTGTCTTCGAAAATCATTAAAATCGCATTACCAGCTCATTAAGGTAAAGCCAGTGAGGCCCTTCGCTTGCATTTGTCTAGCGAGATGACCAATTTTGACAAAGTCCTTGCACCACCCCACTAGACAATTGCTCACACCTGAAGTTTTTCTTCATCTATAACACCTTCAACTTTATAATGATTCTTCCTCGAATCATCTTCCATCCCGGACTTGCGAAGAACACCTGACGAGGACTTCCTCCAATAGGAATGTCGAGGTTTGAATTTAGCATAAGAAACGCCAACTTTGCTGCCATCGATACGAGAGCCATTCATTTTTGAGATTGCTCTCCTTGCTTCTTCAATAGTTGCATACCGAATAAACCCAAAACGGACCCCTTTCGAGTTTCTTTTTTTAGGAATGAAGGCATCAATAACATGACCATGTGTGCCAAAAATAGACCCAAGTCTCTTCCAATGGATCATCTCTGGAAGGTTTTCGATAAAAATCGTGAAACAACCATTTCTGATCCCATTTCCGATTCTTGGATGACCATCCTTCGACCAATTTTGAAACTCATTTTTTCTCCTTCTCGTTACTTCGGAAAACTTTCATGGGAGTACCCTTTCATGATGCTCCTTGGTTCCATCCTGAACAATATCAGCGATAGGTAAAGTTGGTGTTGTCTGCACTACAGAATTAGTTCCGAGCTTTTGTTTCCCTCCTTGAGAAGAAGACAGTCCATTGTCATCAATCCTACCAACAGGAGGGTGACAGTCTGAAGTAGCTTTAGCAAAGCAATTTTTCAAACACCCGGTTGATAAAGGACTATCACCCAACCTTGCTGAGAATACTCTTGAATTTTGCTGCTTTTGGGGCCAAATACCAACTGTAAATTCAAATGAAGGTCAAGAAATGTCCATAGGCAGAATGAATTTCAGTATCCAGAATTGCTATATAGCTTTCCAAGCCAACTATCCCTATTGATTTTACAAAAATATAACATGCAAAATCAATCCAAAGATCAAGTCATCAGTTTATCAGTAAAGAAGAAATTGAGGCACATACTAAAGGGTGGTACGGGGGGAAGTGCTGCAATTATGCTCTTTGCAAAGGCATCCTTATGGCAGCAGGAGTTGAATTGGGTAATTACAAAACTGATAGGGAAGGCTCTCATTACCATTAATTTACAGTTCGCATGGAATGCTCATGGATTTTTTATATGGAGGGAGAGGAATAATAGGCAATTTATCAACAAGCAGAGAACTGAGCAAGAGCAGATTGGCAAGCTAAAGGAAATGGTGAAGATCATATTGACAGATGCTAGAATCAACACCAATTATTTATTCAACAACCTTCTACAACATAGAGAGTTAGACAAATTGTATAGACTGGAGCACACTTGTATAGTTCTTTGAAACAGTTCTGCGTGATTCATGATTGTAGCAAATCACTGCTTACTTGGATAAATAAAAAAAATTATCCCAAAAAAAAAAAGAACCAGATGCTGATCTAGATAGATTCGAGAACCAAGGTTGAAAACAAAAAAAAAATCAAAAGCTTAATTAGCATCAATTATACTTCAAAATGCAGCATGGAGAAGGACTATTTTATATCAAATATTTTCTATTCAACTGAACAGAGCAAGAATAAGATATGAAATAATTCAGATCTACAAGCTCAATTGTCGCACAAATTACTGATAAAAATATCCAAAATTAAGGATCTCATTCCAATCCATGTATTCCGAGATTCCAATGAGAGAACAAAATATAAAAAAAGAGAAAATGAAATTTAGATCCATAGAGAAAATAAGAAAAGGAACTGACAATCGCGGAAAACAATGTTATCGCCACGCTGAGAGAGCACGAAGAACTGGGAGATCATGATTTTCGGCTTCCGATTCGTCTCCTCCGATTTTTTTCCCTCTGTAAATTTGGCTGTGATTTTGATTTTGGTTTGTTTTTGTGCACAGCATCCCCGGTGTTTCTTTTTAGGTCAATTTTTTGGATTAGCCCATAAACTATGCACAAGTTGTGATTAAGTCTTCATACTTTAATTTAATAATTTTTAATCCTTATATTTTAATTATAGTAACATTCATCAGTATATATGCTCATACACCTTGAATTTACGGTTGTTGAAGATGATTATACTCACTGATAAACCAGGCCATTTCAAACAATAAAAAATAATCAAATTTGAGGAAAACCAATTAGCAATACTTGAAGACACGTCTTTATCTATATACTATAATAAAACATCACAAATTACTCAAAATTTAAGTAATATTAGGATTTTTTTTATATCACCAACTGAGAGTATATCTTATATATATACATTCAATTTAACCTTATAATATTTTAATTTTTTTTTTATTTATTACCAACGAAACCAAATACTGCCTCGCTCAGCCTACCAAAAACCATGACCAGTTCACTATCCCACCCAAAAGTTCGAGCCCGTTTAAGTCCGGTTTCTTGGGCTAACCTAGAAACCCAGTTCTCCACCACATCTTTCAAAGCCCGTTTCAATAGTCCAATCTGCTCCTCATCACCGCTCCATTGCATCGCCACAACGCTTTTGGTCCGCCCACCAACCGTCGTCATCTCAGCCTGGACCGTCCTGATCACACGACTCAAATCGTGGTTCAAACCCGGCCTATCCTCGCAGCAAACCGTCACCTTCAACAACTTCTCTTCTTCGTCAGAAAAGTTCAAAGCCGCCTCGCCGCAATCCCCGGGAAACGGCCACGTCGTGTCGACCTCCGGTTGGCTGTCATTACAACAACAGTTACAGTCGCGCCGCCCTACGTCTTCCACCTGCCTCATTAGCTCCCTCACGCGATGGACAACCTCCGCCAGCAACGAAGCCTTACCCGTCTGTTCTCAAAACAAACAAACAAACTAAACAACACTAACCGCAACAGCAGTATACTATGTTTTGTTAAGAAACTTGGCGGTGTTGGGGAGGAGTGAACGAAGAGTGGATAAATGGGCATTGATAAGCTGCCTGCGCCTCCTTTCCGCTTCCTTGTGACTCTTACAGGCTTCCATTGATTTTCTCTCTGATAAAGCCTTGATGGAATCATCACCCTCCGTTAAAGTGACCGGACTGTCGTTCTTAACACCACAGGAATTTTTCAGAGGAAACATTTTTTTCGCTTACAGTATTAGGCTAAAAGGAAAAGAAGAAAAATAGAATGAAGCAAGTCGAGAACTGTAGTTTCGAAATTACAAGAAGTGCAAGTGAAAGTAAAAGTTCTAAGACAAGCACTTGGTTTTTTTCTCTCTTTTTATCGCTACTGCTGCTGAACTTGAGGTATATTAAAAAAAAGGACTTTCGTTATCCGAGGTGGGACTTGGTTAGAGTGCAGAAAATTAAAATAAAAGAACAAGTAAAAAAACAGAATAATGGTCAAAACACAATTAACAATGGAAAGAAAATAGGAGGACGGGACATTTTGAAAGGTAAATGAGTCACGGCGGGTAAGAATGACGGTGGCTGGCGCCGGCAGCTTTTGTCCCAGCAAGGCAGCAATGTTGCATTGATACGGTTACCGGGATGGAAACAGGGACATGGACATGGACATGGAAAGGAAACATCAATTTCTAAAATTATATGGTACGAGGGAAACATATAAAATAATTTTAAAATTATAAATAGATGTAAAAAATTATAAATAAAGTCAAAATTATATACAATGCATTACTCTCTGATTTGTATAACCTACAGTCAAGATGCATTTTTGCCGAGATATTATTGCTAAGACATACTAACTTCTAGGAACAAAATATCTCTATAGTCGAAGTCGTCAACTTAAGAGAAAAATTCAAGACATCCAAATGGGCTCACTTGAAAATCAACTTCGGGAGGAGCCTATAAAGAATCTATGTAACCTAGTTATGGACCGGACAGCCAAACAACTATCCACAAAACAGTAATCTCTTGCTGATAGTGGTTATACTTTTGTTTGTCAACGGTATAATGAACAAATCTATACAAAGAAGCAACTCAAACCATCATAGTCAAGTCAGAAAGATCATCCATGGGAATTTCAAGTCCCATGAAGTCGTGATCTTGTAATCCATCATCATCAATGTTTAACCATGAACCAATGGTAGATTCAAAAATTTATAAATGGGGTCCAAAATTTTAATTTCCTTTTTTTAAATATAATGGGGGTGCAAAAAAAATTTCTTCCATTTTTCTTTAACATATTATACTAAATTTCACTTTTTCCTTAAATAATAAAGATGCACTTGACCCCTAGGGGCTTAGTGCATCCGCCACTGCCATGAACCCAAATCAGCAAATCTTGTCCAACCATAGCAGGCAACAAACGGAAAAATGAAGGAGAAGAAAGTGAAGAAAGGAGGAGAGGAGGAGAATCACCTGGTCGGTTGGTGGTGGCTGCTGTGACGACTGTTGAAGATTTTCGCAGTGGTGGAGAAATGGACGGCACAGTGTGATGGATTGAGGTAAATGTCGTCCCCGAAACGTCCCCAGCGAGAACTGAAACGTCCCCGTATAGTTCGGCCGTATCCTACCACCGTGGCACGTCTCTAGTACGTACCCCGATCGTCCCCGTGACAAGAACGTTTCGGGTACTTGAAACGCCCTTCCTCTGCCGTTCTCGTGCAACATAGCAAGGCAGGACCTTGTCATAAAAATGGTGATATGGCCGGACTATATATATATATATGTACTGGTTTCATGGCTTCACTTTCACACGCATTCCCTTGTTCCTCTTTTTATATAATGATTGTCATCATCTCTTGCTGGTATCACCTACGCATGTGTATATAAATTGGTTACTTCAACACGAGTTTATATTAGTCATTGTTATGATGATTCACGTCTTGCCTGCTGGTCTCTGTGTCAGGTTCTTCTGCAAATAACTTGTTTTAATTGTGTTAATTTATATCTTACTTTTATTTACAATAATTTAGGTTTGTAAAACCTAAGCGAATGAGTTTTTGTTAAAGTTTATTATTTGAACAACGTCCAAAGAAATCGAAGATGAAATTTGAAAGAAGATTAGAGAAAGAGTAAATTATTTTTTTACTCAACCTTGTTTATATTACTGTTTTGCTTGCTTAATTTTAAAAAATTTCAATTTCATCAATAATTTTTTTATTTCTATTTTGGTCAATCTACCATTAAGTCTTCAATGTTGTTTTTTTTTATAAATTTATATAAAAAAGATTGTGCAACCTTTCCTTTCAAAATTAAAATTTTGAACTATATTTGACTCATAGGTGTCAAAATATTTTATTTCAAATTAGAACAGTGAAAAGTAATATGTATCAATTTCAACACATCAAACAGTGGATATTTACATATCATACTAAGATAAGATTGAAGCTTTGATTTAAAAAAATGAAACTGAAAGATGTAAAAATAAAGGAGAATTTTTTATATCAATTACGTCACAAATGACAATCGAAGATAATAAAAAGGGATTGCAGTCATAGAAATAAGAAGATTAAAATTTTATAAATAAGCCCCCACCCCAAAAAAAGAAAGCGGTCGAAATGAATGAAATTAGAAAAAAATGTGATCAAATTAAATGATAAAAAATAAAACAGGAACAAAGTTGAGTGACAAAAATGTAGTTTATCCTCAAAAGAAATAGGTTGACAAGGAGTAGGAATTGCATGTGAGAATGTTGGGTGGACGCCCACCAGGTCTTGAACACTGTAGAGAATTGAGGTCAACATCTAATGGCAGTGACCCGTCCTAAAATGGTTCGTTTCCTAACATCTTAAACCTCCCTTCCCTATTTATGAACATTACTTTTTATTATTAGCGTGGGAACTTTCAACCATGTGAATGTTTATATATCTTTATAGATATAATGTTGAATCAAATATTTTAAAAATTAATAAGAATTTTTTTAATTATTAAAATCGTTTAATTCATATATCAACGTAACATTTCCTTTGCTTCAATTGCCATGTTTTAACATCCAATTCAACTTGTGTCTCATGGTTGATGCTTTCCTTTATTATTTCTACCGACATCGAGCTAAGATTCAAACGTCTAATATTTTTTATGTTTAAGTCCCATTATGTAAATATAAAACAAACGAACAAGTAATAAAATAATAAATATTACGATATTATCAATAAAGAATATATTTAATTTTTTACAAGGTTAATGGTGATTTACAACTAAATTGTTTCTTAAAAGTATATCAGCAAAGTTTTTTATTTGAATTTTTTTTCTTTTAAGGATTAAAATTATAAAATTAGATGAATAGTCTAATTCTGGAACAAAGACGGATCGTAAGGACATTAGAGGGGCCATGATCTGTTATATTATGTTAATCAAGATACGTTAATGATGATAAAGAAATACAAGTAGTAAAATACGGAGAAGAGGAGGTAGAATTTGAGTTATTAATGAAAGTAATTTTACAAAGAAGATCTGAGTGATAGCAGGCAAACCTCTGGGGACGTCCTTCCCATATTCCACTGCCAAAACGCAAGGCTGTAAAGGGACCAACTTCAGAAAACGACAGATTGAAATACCTACTTGGGAAAATACTCTCTCTCCTCTTCTCATGAAACCAAAAGCCGAGGCCCAAAGTTAAGGAAGGAAATGGAACCCAAAAGACGGAAAATAGATGGTTTCTCTTACACAGCAAAATGGAAGGTCCTTTAAAGGCAAAGGGAACTCCAAACACTGTTCCAACTCACGTATGTCCCTAAAAGCAGCCCAACATCTGTAATTTTTGCACAGGGCAATGCTTTTTCAACTTTGGGTCCTTTATTACCAGTTCATGATAACATGGAGAGAAAAGTGACTAGGCGGAAGACCAATAATTGGGATGCATTTTGCCCATTTACCTGCAAAATATGCAGTCATTTCAGCATTTATGAAATTCGGATCCCATTAGGTACAAGCCTTTAGAAGCCATACTCCAATTTTTGCCCATGGCTATTTTATCCTCTATTAAAATTTCAAAGAGGTTTAAGTGTTACATAAGATTGTAGGATTCAAGTGGCACAAGTTGTCTGATTCCATTGCAAATCTGTCTTTGTTTATGGATGAACTAAATTTTGTAGGCGTACATTTCATAGCTACGTCATTTAAGCTGCATCACAAATCGATTGGAATAGTACAACGCCATAGGCAACTTGTGATGACAGACTTAGCTATATGAGTCCGTTCTTGTCAAATGGTGAACCGGGAGGTGCAATCAAACCCAGATCTTGCATCACTCTCGTTCTTCGGGTACCTGACTTGGGAGATTCTCCTGGTGAAGCTCCTTCCTGAGGGATAAAATTTAGTTTAAGAACCAAGTTTTCTAAGAACTTGTAGGAAATTTTTTTGGGGAAAACAGCTGTATACTCACAGAGCTTTGGCTACCAGTCTCCTCCTTTAACATATTTTCCTCTTTCGATGTTCTCGGGCTGTTTGGCTTCGACTTTTTCTGCGCCTCATATTGCTTTGAAGTTTTACCCCTCTTCTGTTCCTTAGAGGTTGAACTCTTGGACTTTTCCTTGGCACTTCTACCATTTGGCTTCTTTTTCTCTGCAGTTTGGTTATTTTTCCTTTGTTTCTTCTGGACACTCAATTGCTCAACGGCTTTATTCTTTGCCTGTTTATCGGTACTAGGGCTCTTTCGCTTGGGTTTCTTGGGGGTCTCATCTTGCTTGGAAGTCTTGCCTTTAGAAGCATCAGCTCCAGTGTTTGTTAGTCCAGATTATAAGATTTTATAATATCAAATGTCTACTTGGAGCAAAAGAATGAAAATTTCCAGAAAGTAATCCAAGATGTTAATTCAATAAACATTGAGATGGGAACAACCGAATATGATACAAATCCATTTTTGACTATCGAATTCCTATGCATATAAGAAAGGACTATGTGAAATTCAAAAGGAAAAAAAAGGCATGCTAGGTTATCAACTTCTCTTTATTTATTTTGATTAACAAAGAGATAGATGCCGATTCTTTGAAATCCGAAGCAAAGCTCCTAAACAGTTTTAAATGACCATCTCAACCAATGGCTAAGGGCCATCGAACTGCATCAGCAGTACATATTGAAGTCTCAAGGAGGTTTCACTTTCAGCCGATAAACCAATAGCTTGTGTTGCGACATTTGTGAAGGCTGATTATACCAAAACCAGAAAGCGAAACTGATTTATCAGATAAATTTCTGCTTCAAATAACGTAACTTCAATACTATACATCAAATTTTGACATCAGGATTTCATTGCAATAAAGCTTTTCAATCATAAAGATCATAGAGTAGAACTGCAGCACAATAAAAAGAGATAAGCAAACTAAAGAAGCCTAACCTGTAGCCTTAGATCCTTGCCCCTTTGGTTTAATAGATTTCCGGCGAAGCTGCAGCCACATCGAAAATTATGGGAGAGACATAAATTACAAACTTTAGGGATAATTTGCTAGACTATATAGCTTTAAGAAAAAGGGAGAGCCTTCAAAGTGCTGAAAGGAGACAATGATGTAAGTAGAGAAGAAGAAACCTATTACCTGCTCCAAAGTTTTGTCAAGGATATCGTAACAATTACCATTATTCTGTTCTAGAATCTGTCAATGTATAAACAGCATGTCAAAATCATTAAATCAGTAGAATACAACCATGCAATCTAATTCGCATGAGTGGTTGAATAAAAAAGATGGAAGAACATGATCGGAACTTACCGTTTTAAACTCGGAATGATATTTCACAGGGTCTGCATAAAAGCTGCAGAGGGAACAAATAACACACTTCAATCCTTGCTTGCAGTTTGTTGACACATTTAAATCCTTACACTTTTTTTAAAAAAATCTCAAACCAATCAAAGTTCACACATCTTTCTCCAAGAAACAAAATAATCAAGTAGGGAAACAGAGAACTGACTACTCATGGCTCCCATATAGACGCACTAGCACCTTCCCCTGTGATTTACCTCCCGGTTTACTGCTCTCGCTAACACTCTTCTCATCAACTACCTGACACATTATCGATAATTAGAATCCACAGAACTGGATAATTCTGTTCAAAATGCTAAATTATCATTACAAGGCTGGGAAAAAAATATGCTAGTTGCAAAATATCAAACAACCATTGCATTAGGCATACCAGTGCTGGCCACCATGAGTTTCCATGGACTTTGACCCATATCAAATCTCCTAGTGACACCTCCCCTACCAACTGCAGGGACGCAGATTCCTTCGCCCATTCGTTGTTATCAGTAATTTTGCCACCAGCAGTACTATTTCCCTCCGTAGCTTGTACTATTTGTGATTCACACATGATCTAGTTTTAAAATCCAATATGTTTAAAAATAACATCAGCAAAATAAAAAAATCACCTTAAAATAGATATCACAATAATAGTCTCTTAACAGAATTCAACTAATGGATTTATAACAAAATTAAAAAAAAAGATATAAAAGTAAAAACTTCACTGCATTCGACTGTCTTTCCAAATACTCAACATCTCAGATTCAAATCCAACGGAGTTGAGAGAAATGCTGATTTGAAAAGAAAGCGATGCATCAAAAAAGGTAATTGATGAGTGTCGTAAACCCTAACAATAAAGTAAACTGTACATGCAAATCTATACTGGAAATGACATTCCATTCTTACCCTTTGTTAGGATCATGATAAGAAAATTAAAGAAAATTATTTTTTTTCTGTTATCAACCAAGCAAAACCCAAAACTTGAGCTACTTTGTTCCAACATTTTCTGGTTAACCAAAACCATGCAAGAAAAAAGATAGATGAAGGTAAAGATCAAAGGAAGAACTTACCGTCTTGGCCAGGATCGAAAATAGGTGCATGATGCGAGACGGTGGCTTCGATGCAAATGAAAAAAGAGGTGAAGAAAAGGAGGAATTTTTATTGGAAGACAGACAATGGAGTCCAAGACCGATGAAAGTAATAAGAAAATAGTCGAGAAAACCAAAACCCACTAATTTTTCTTTGGGTAGTCAGTGTGACTTGATGACCCCACGGACTACAATCAGTAATTCCTCCATCATCTCTTTAATACCCCATTAGACCTATAAATCGTTTTTTAACCTTTCTTTCTTTTATATGCTTCAGACATGTTTTATTTTATTGTTGTTGTCGTTCTTGGATTTGGCAAAATTAGTGGATAATGCAGCCTGCAATTATTTAGCCTAATAGTGTATCTAGTATTTATTTTGAGATCTACGATAAAAGTTACAGTAAAATTAAAATTCGTCATGTCGACGTTATATATTTCATGTGATATAAATTTTTAATAGGTCGTGGGCTGTGGGTCTTATAGGCTGAATATATTTAATATATATTCATAGACTCGCTATACCAGCGTGACGAGTCTGAATAAAAAAATATTTTTTTGGAAATTTAAAAAACATGATTAAAAAATATATATATTATTTTAATAGGTAGGGACCTCGTCACGCAGGTGTGACAAGTTTCAACGTGTAAAAATTTGAATTTTTCGACCGTTGGGGTGACCGTTGGCGAACTATCAATTTTTTTTAAATTTAATAGAACTCGTCACGCCGATGTGACGAATTCCAACGATTATTTTCAATTTGAAAACATTAGTCATTTATAGCAGTTGGATATAGTAATATAAATAGAGGTTTGAGTTGGATTGGTTTTTCACTTGAAATCAAACATTCTATTGAGAGTAAAAACTTTTTTATTGAAGATTTTGTGTTGAAATGGCCTTAAGAGAAGAAATGATACGTCTTGATGATGATCATATTTCGTCGATCAAGTTGACTACGGTAAATTGAATTTGTTTTATTTGATTTTAGTTTTGAAAAAAATTATAGTATTAATAATAATTGTTTATATAATTGTATTAATAAATTTATTTTCAAATTGTAGTGAGAATAACGACGCATTTGCCATCGAAAAATGACGAATGAAGAGTCACATCAGCGGATTGTGATATATCTTCAATAATCCATATTATATGCAACAATGTTTCTTCATGGTTTTAAGGTGATATCGACACTGATATCGGTGTTGATTGAGCGTTGGAGGCCTGAAACGTATACGTTTCATTTTTCTTCTGGTGAATTGGCTACAACATTGAAAGATGTCGCATATCAACTTGGCGTTCTTATTAATGGTATGCTATTGATGTTTCTCAACAATTATGCACGAGATGCAGTTATTTCTGATTTATTGGGAAATGAGACTCTAGCCGATCTTATTGATATGATGCAAATACGGATAATGTGGTTGGAAAAAGAATTTAGAGTAAATGGACAATAACGGAGCAAGAGGTGAAATATGCAGCCCGAGCATATCTTATGACGTTAATTGGAGGGATATTGCTACCGGATAAATCAGACAATTTGGTGCACACTCAATATCTTCCGGTATTGAACGATTTCCTTGTATGTCGTCAATATAGTTGGGGTTATGCAATTTTGGCTTTTTTGTATATTGAACTTTGCAAGGCGACCAAAGTGGTTAGAGGGAAAAAAGCGAATATAGCGGGTTGTTTAGTTTTGCTCCAATCATGGGCTTGTTATCGTCTCCCATTTTTTACACCTATTACATCCGCTCCTATAGAGTTTCCTCTCGCCACACGGTAAATTCATATATTTAAAGTTTTGATATTTTATAATATTTATTTAAATATTTTGAAAATGACAATAAATAATGTAGTTGTTATTTTTTTTGGTTTAGATGACGACACCGAATAATCGATACAAAATTTTCGGGTGCAACAAAAGTAGATATCTAGATGATGATCGATATTGCCGGTATATATGCGGTAAATATTAATAATTTTTGCATTAACATTGAAATTTGTAATAGTAATTCTTTAATTATACTAACAATATACTTTTGAGAGTTTAATTGATTGTCGTATTATGCGTCAGAGATTCAACGATGTCTATCGTCATTTTTATTTGAAGGAGCCGAGACATGGTGTGTCGTAACACCATTGCTCCATTTCACAATTATTGAGATTCATGCCGCTGATAGAGTTTTGCGACAATTTGAGTTTCACCAACCGATGGAAATGTCCATATATAACATGGACGATTTCCATAAAATAGATGCGTGCGGGAAGCATACGGAAGATTGGCCAAAGAAGCATGCTATATTCATACAATAATGGCATGAGAGGCATTTACATTTGCCTAATCGTTCTGAGATCCAACCTGAAGATTTTGATTTCACAGTTTCTCCCTACCTCTAAAATTATGAAGTAAATGAGAAACCATACTTGACAACGCTAGAGGATCGGTTCGAATGGGAGGAAATGAAGATAAAACATGAAAAAAATATCATCTTCATCAACATCTTCTTCTTATGCTTCCACCAATTATTATCCATCTCAAACAAGTTATGATGAATATGATTCATATCAAGCATTGATGGAGAATCGAGCGGTGTGGGTAGGAAGTTCCTGGGATCAAGTGCCACATTCACAACAATTTCCGACACAAGAAATGGGAGCAAGTGGTGCGTGAGATGATCTTCTTCAACACGATCAATCTTGTGGCAATTTTAGTGTGCAATTTGAATCGATGATGTCAATAATGGCGTCAAATACATTGAATACTCTATCATTTTCACCCGAAGGTGAAAATCAAAGTGGTGGAGTAATGTTTAGTACGTCGGAACTGGAAAAATACGAAAATGACGAAGGTGGATGACCACGACGAAATCGACGAGCACCACATCATTACTATTCTACCACTCCTCGACATCGACAAGAATTGCGCAAATATAAGTAATATTTTTGTTTGCTTAAGTAAAATTACTTATGTTATAATTTATTTTTATTATCATATGTAAATAATTAATAGAGATCGGCAAGAAATCGAGTGAACTATGTACTCAACATTTAATTGTATTAAAATTAATATCAATAATATATATGTGTCCCCCTTTAAAATGTTTCTAAAATTTGTCATTAATTTTATTTTTAATTAAACTAACTTTGAAAAATATGTAAATAAATATGTTAACTAACTTTGAAAAATATATATCATTATCTCGTTAACAATTTAACTTTGAAAAGCAAAGGACGTGAATAGTGTAGATTTTCTTATTTCAATGGAAATTATTTCAGTTTATCTGAGTTGGTGTGAAATATCAATGAAAAGAAAAGGATGTTAATATTATAGATTCCCTGATTTTCTAAAATATTTTAGTTTATCTAAGTTGATGTGAAATGTCAATGACAAGCAAATGACGTGAATAGCGTAGATTCTCTGATTTCAATAGAAATTATTTCAGTTTATCTGAGTTGATGTGAAATATCAATGACAAGCAAAGGACGTGAATAGTATAGATTCCCTGATTCTCTAAAATATTTTAGTTTATCTGAGTTGATGTGAAATGTAAATGACAAGCAAAGGACGTGAAATGCATGGATTTAAAATAGTGTAGTTCATATTCAATCTCTTACACAACACACTCATTTCATCTAATGAAATGCATTTCAAATAATAAGAACTAACTATTCACAGTTGTCCATTACAATGGCGAAATTCTACACATTGATGTTGGTGTTGTGTTTAAGTCACATAGGCCCATCAATATGATGTTCCCTATAGATGTATCTCATCGCCAAATGAAGCAAAAAATTGAGAGAAAACTTGGAGCTTATGTTTCATGTTTAAGTTATCAGCACATGATCTCCTCAAATCTAATCACATATGGAACAATCTAGCTTGATGATGATGACGATGTCGCTGTTATGGTTAGATTTCATCAATCATCAAATAATAATATGGTTGAGATTTATGTCGAAACCACAATTGCAACATATATTTCAACCTCAACAGTACCATCACCACGAACAGAAGAATCAGGACCCTCTGAACCACATGCAAGTGTTGCTGATGACAACCTTGTTGGACGGTTCGATGAAAGCCTTGCTAAATTTAGCGAGGATGATGAAGATATTGTTCCATTGTTGGAAGATGACGATACACTATTAGTTGATGATTCAGATATTTTTGAGGCTGCTTCAGAGGGACAAGGTTTGTATGTGAGGCAACTATTTCACGATGTCAAGGATTACAAAATGCTCCAAATGTTTAAGCATAAATGCACCCTCAACCTGAAATGCCTTACCATGATTTACCTCGGTATCATCATCCAGTTGTAATGCATGACATTAACTATAATGCTATGCAGAATCCTGAAATCTATGATATGCCAGAGTTATGTGCTGCCCGCTGGGGTTCTTCAGACGAGCGATCATATGAGTTGGCGATTGGGTCTTAGTTTGAAACAAAAAAAGAGGCACAACTAGCAATCAAAGAGTACTATATTAAAGCTCATATTCAATTCTATGTAGCAGAGTCTGATCAAAAGACATATTTTGTAAGGTGTATACACCATGATGTTGGCTGTAAGTGGAGGATACGAGTATCATACCTACAACAGAAGATATTGTGGGAAGTCACAAGGTTCAATGCACAACACGCATGTACAATGAGCTCGTTGACACAAGACCATAAATATTTAGATTCAGATGTTATATGCTCGTATGTCAAGCTATTAGTGGAAAAAAAATCTAAGAGTACCCGTTTCTATGTTAGTGGCATCCATTTGGAATACATTTGGTTATATTTCCACTTATTACAAGGCATGGATGGCTAAAAAAACAATGACCTTGTTGTATGGTGATTGAGATCAGTCATATGGGCTACCATGTTTGCTGCAAGTAATTTAATTTTTCATCATTGGAACCATTGTTAGATATTATACTCTTCCCACAGTCTCGCTTCAGGGAGACGTTATCCCTGGAAAGAGAATTTTTGGTGGCTTGTTCTGGGTGTTTAAATAAGCTATTGAAGGGTTTCGATTTTGCAAATAAATGATTCAAGTCAATGAGACTTTTCTGTATGGGCTCTACAAACACGTCTTGATGATAGTCGTTGCACAAGATGGAGACAAAAATATTTTCCCCATTGC